AATGCTGCGAAGTGTTATAACATGGAATGAGGGTTCCTATAATATAATTTTAGTCCTCGTTTAGATAAATTTGCATTTTGACGTCAATGAGAGAGACTCAACACTTACCTGGAACTACTAACATGAATAAACTATCATTATGTAACACAACCTTCGTATTAAAGCATATAGTTACATACATTGCTAGGTTTCAAAATTATTGATATAACATACTCAAGTAGCTAATATTATATTACAAGTTTAAGCTAAGCATTTACTTAGGACTTAAGTGAGCTTCAAATGAGTTGAATTACGTTGGGTTAATATTCCAGTTAGTGTTTAGTATGTTATTTAAATTTTCAATACCATTTACTCTCACCCTTTTTTAAATTGCTGTATAATTTAAGTAGCTGCGGTATCATTTTACTCCAAGTACAGTATAAAAGTACTTATTAAGCTTCAATATACGGACAACTTCAGAAGGTCGCAGGTCACAAATAGGCTATTACCGAAGAAGAGACCACCTACATTTATCGTTCATTTTTCTTCAATTTTCTACGAGGAAAATAAAGAAAAATTATTAGTCGACGATATCCAAGAAACTGTGTAAAATAATGTAAACGCTTGCTTTGCTACTCAAAAAATTCAAATGATACCAAAGATGTTATTAAAGATCCTTTGATCATTTCGTTTAGAGGACCAATTAGTAAAAAAGGGCCATTAATTAAATAATACAATGTCAAAGAGTGAGACTTGTTGACTTTGTTCCTAAAAAATGGAATAACCGGTTAAATGGAATAAGGTATCAAAGAATTTGGCAAACTTCCTCTTAATCTTTGAACCTTGTGTATATAATGAATGCTTCACTTTAAAGCTTCCAATTTTTATGTGAAATTACTAAATTTACATTATTATGTGAATATAATCAAGCCTTTAAAGATATGTATAGACAATACGGTAGAGACTGTGGATTGTCTACGTTTCAACTCCGAATTAACAATGATGTAAAGTGACAATTTATTCACACTCCTAAATTTACAAATTCATTGTCGGCTTAGGCTAAGAGAGCTAAAAATAACTAAATTATCATTTGCATTTAATCTTGTACAATTGTAATTATATCCTTAACTTGATTTACTAGGAAAACGAGAGATTGTTTAAGAGGTTGGGCGGGCTTACATTTAACAGTGAGTGTCTTTCGAATGATATAATGATGTCTATTAAATGTAAGCTTCGACATCTCTTCTTAATTTTGTGATATCTGTTTCAAGTTAGGTACAATAGGGTGAGTCAATACCCACTTGAGCAGTCACTTTATTATGATGGAGCTAAGGGAGCGATGTAAAGCCAGAAATAAAAATAATATCGACGACAATATAACGCACAGAGCCGTAAACCGTGCCATTCAACAAACACGCCATTCGGTCAATGAACGATCAACCACGCCACGATCCTAATTGAACGGCTTCGGATCCTGACAATAAATTAATGAAAATGTATGAATTATACACATGTGCGACTAATCTTGTCATAAGTTCTACGTAGTGTTACGTGCTGCTACTTGGTATCTTTGTCTAGTTTATACCTAATTGAATCAATGTTCCCTCAATACGGTCTTTATGTTTATCTTTATATTTAAAGAAAAATCACTCGAGTTTTCATTTCTTTTGTTTCGCTTGTGATTTTAAAAGCTTACTTTCAGACAGTTTAATCTCGTCGCCAAACGCTATAGGCATTTATTTGGCAGACTTCCAAGAAACTTTAGCGCAGCTAGATACGCGAACGTACATTGAAAAGTCACAGCAAGCCTGTTTGCTGGACAAATTGTATCCAGACAGAGTTGTTGACTTTCAACTCAAAGTGAAAAATTGAAACCCATTTCATGGTCTAACAAAATAAATTATCAAGGTTTCAAAGCAAGGGGCAGCTTGTTTATTTTGAATTAGTCTTTTGTATTTGACGTTGTATATTCATGATTTCAATTCAAAATCGATATAAATTTTATCGTCAAATTCGCCTTATTTTCTTCAACCTGTCTAATTTATCATTCAAAACGAATTAGGTTACCTTATTTAATTTCAAGAAAGTGGTGTTGAATCGGATTTCGAAATACAATTCTTTAGTTTGTGAGGTTTCTGTCAGTTATCCTTTCAGGTCTAAAGTATTGATTCTGTTTAGATGAAAGTATTAGACCATATGGGACCAATGATGCTGAAAAAAGAAAACTGAAGTGCGCTATTAAGGTCGTTTACACAAGCGGCGAACATGAACTCCTCGACGTGAGTGATACCGAGATCCTTGCCATTCTGTCGGGGGCGCATATATTAATACAGCGCTGTTAAGCACTCTCGATTTATATCTACACAATAAGTTATGGGAAAAATATCGCTGAAATTAATATCCTTTAACATTTTTTTTAATAAATGATATAAAAGTACGTATATGTAATCTTTCTATAATATCTGTATAACTATTTTCCTTATATATATGTAATTAGTCTTGGTGCTCCATGAATTGCACCCACTCGTAATGTATTAGAAATTAATGTTGCCGGAAGTCTTTGAGACCAGATAAATTAACGAAAGTATCATAGAATTTAGTTTAATATGTATTAAATACTAAACTTGGAAATAATTATTTGCAACTGGCCAATGAAGAAATAGTTAAGATTGAGTTTCGAAATCTAATTCGAATGCCGACCAACCGCCACTAAGTACTTTAGTCATGTTAACTAATTTGTACTTCACTAAATACTATATGAATGTCTAAAGAATTTATTTTACAGATAAGTAAAAGTATTTTAAATGTTAGAGATCCATGCTTCGGCACAAATGAGTCGGCTCAACCGGAGTGATACCACGGCCTTATAGAATTACCTATAGCGTGAACTATCCCTTACGTTGTGTTTCGCCGAGTAAGTGAGGTTACTGGACGCCCAATCTTCACCCCGTCTATGCTTCCCCATCCTCAATCATTAAATTCCCTTTTCTTGAATGCCTAATAGCCCACAGGAGGCCGGCAACGGACATATTTACAAGTGGTATTACGAGTGGTCATGGGCGACGCTGATGGCTTACCATCAATTAATGCTTCTGTTCGTTGGTTGCAGTCAATAATATAGAAAAGTAATAAAAACTTAAAACATTTCACAATAAAAGCCAACTTAATGATGTGTACCTACATTGGAGGTCCTAGTATAGCTTTATATGCAGAGAGTGCAGTATAGGAGGCGGTACACAAAAGCTTGTCCCGCTGCACAGAGAGACCACGATTGTTATTCAGTAGCCGTCCGTACAATAGCTCAATTCTATATTTTAATGCAAAATCGAGGATATCTTGGTATATTTTAAATGATGGCCTCTCTTGAAGTAAATCTTTAAACAGTTTAGTGTCAGTTTGGTAATTACAACTAGGTATGTAGTATTTTATTTTGCAAACCGATAATTTTTTTCATGGTTCTCGAATAACTAGACATAAATAACGTGTATTTATTCTATATAACCAAAACAAATAGACTACCATCAGCTCTCTAACTCTTATAAGAGAAAAATGGACCAGTGAAAATCAGAAAATTACGTACTTTTCATTTTCTATGTCTAATGCACGAAAGATCTGATGACGATCATAATCATTCCCGAAATATTCCCAACGTTGCGCGCAAAGCGCAAGAAGTTACTGCGGTCCGGCGAACAGCAGGATAAGGATGGAATAGAGTGGTTTAAGTCAATAGGTAAGAGTCTGACAGTCCGTCTCGCCTTACCCAAGGCGGGATAAGTAGATATAAGACTATTCCCATCAAAAAAACAACAGTAAATCTAGCGCAATCTAAGACTGAGCTGTCTATATTTATTTTCAAAACTATCTAACCTATCTTTTCATGCTTTAGAAGTAGGTGCGACATTAAATATTTATTTAAAATCGCCCACGAATGCTTTTTAGTTTTCATGAAACTTAATGTACTACCATTTCCTATTCCGTAATTCTTATTTTTAAATGCCACGAGCGGTCGTATTAAATTACGGTCGTGTTTATTGACTTATAATTATTTTGACGTAATTTTTTTTCTTTTCTTTCATTTCAAATTTAATTACACTTGCTGTACAATAAAATAATTACATTCATTGGTAAAAACTGTCAATGGTAGATCCAATCCATATTGGTAACGTTCTCACAACAGATCGCCTGCACGTTTTAAAAGAGTTCTACTTCAGCAGCCATTAGAACACCCTCCTAAACGCCTATTGTTCAGAGCCTGCTGTATTAGAGCTAAAAATATCGCATCAGTTTCCTGCGAGTCAATATCACCCTAATAGACTATGAAAAAAGGTGGTTAGAAGGTAAAATTTTCTATAAATAACTTTATAATAGTTTTTTCCTGCCCTGCTTCTTTATAAATTGTATGTCAATTCAATACGCCTACACTGTTTTCAATGACAGTAACACCGATAATAGTAACACTATTAGGTTTTTGATTCTTTAGAATGCAAATAGGGTACATAGAAACTTATTCTGAATCGTAACACAAGTAGATAAAGTCCATTTAGCATTAACATTATTTTGATTGGACGCGCCTATATTCGTTCACTGTAGAAAACAAACGTGGACGTGTACATTGGACTGGATAAATTCATCTTTAATTAGACTGGACTATCGAGTTTTCGTCAGTCCAGAGCTTTACCAAGAGCGCTGAATGTCAGTGCATATTTGCAACTAAATGTCTAAAATCGAATTTGAATCATGCTGTATCTATCCATTGTCAGATTGATGCCCGTAACTACATCGTGCTCCTAACAATCGGAAGCCACAATTTCACGCCATTTTATAATCTAAGAAGATAGCAATAAAGAATAAAATATGAATTCCTTGTTATGAGAATTAGAGTGAATTCAGTGAACACGAGTGGCGTACAAAATGTACTCCTGTGACCTCACCTCCGTAATAGAGGGATAACACGCATTTATACTGTAACAGATGTGATTTTAACATGAAACGTTACGAATTAACATTGTGGACTCACATACCTTGGGTTTTTGCGGCTGTTAGGCAATCTGCAACAAAATTATTCGGAATTAGTATGATTTGATACTTAATATCAAACGTCATTGGTATAAGTATAATATTTTCTTATAACTAAGGTTAAACTCAAAACTAGATAAGTCACGACATTTAGCTAAAAATTGCTCTAAAGGTTAGAAATAGAAATAAAAAAAAACAATTTTTCAATTATTATTAATTCATTTGACGTCTCTACAAAGATACAGGAAACTTCATTAATAATTATTTGAATTAATTACACTTTATTATGCAATGTGAAGTAAAATTTTTACGGAAGCATATTAATTAATATCGTAAAAATGTTCTCCAAATTGCCTCGTAGGAGAGCGCGAGTAATGTGCGCATCAGTAAAACTAATCTCAAAACTCCCGCATACGTACGTAAGCTTGTATCTATGATACACTCATATAAAATTGAGGATCCCATCAACATAAAATCGATATTTTAAATTGAGTAATTATCATTAAATTATACAAGGTACCTTAAACTTCTACGATGCTGAATTCCAAGGTATAACTTGAGACAACCTTTAATAATTATGTAAAGTCTACAGAAACAACGTACCTACATTTTTCATTCACAACGACAGGCTTTTCTCCCGTACGCGCCATTTCATGATCACCATTATTTACCCATATTTAGGGCAAGGGCAGTAACTGTGTTGCCACTTCATTACCTACCTACGCAATGTAAATTTAATTTTCTTTTAGAATTTGAACGTTTCAATTTTTGTTAGATTTAAATTATTTTGTATTTAGAACAGTTTCCTATATGCTGTGAATAAAATAATTTATTTCAAAAAACACATATTTAGTCATAATAAAAAAGTTTTGCTTGAAAGAAATCTACTTAGTTTTTTTTTTTAATTAAGTTATTTTTCATATTACCATCTTTTTAACACAATGTGGTTCAAACGCTTGTATCGTCTCGATATCTAAAATTAAAATCGGAAAGTGTTGATATGATATACATGTTTAAGCTAAAATTAGTATATCACTGTGTAATATTCCACCGTAAGCTAGAATAATCTTTAACGAGATTCTGCCCTAATAAAATCAAGTCGGGACCCGTAATGGCAAACTAATTATGGATCCAAGGTGCTAAACATCTATGCAAACTCTTATAGAACATCCTATGTTAAATTTAGTTTGAATATTTGCTTAATCAACGATTTTGATACTCATTACATTATTGTATAGAATTTCAGCATATTTTATAACAAATGTCATAGTGGCAATTGAATGCCATAATACATATATATAATAATTGAATTCGTATGTCAAGAACAGTAGAAATCCAAGGTTTTATTTTGAACTTATGGTCTGTGGTGTATGACTTTTGTACAGTAAAGGCGGACTCGGCAAACTTTCGTTCTTCAATTCCAAAGCAAGATACCTTCCTTAGGCTTCTGTATAGCAACTATCATATTTCATAATTGCCCAAGAAAAATTAGTGAAACTTTTTAATTGTATTTAGCCTATCCAGTCTTATGGTAATTGTATACGTAAATCCAATTGTTACAATCGTATAAATTAAGTTTTAATTCTTCCGTAAAAACTAAGTAAGCACACATAACATTTTACAACAACGAGCCCATTTTGAAAAAGCATTAACCGAATTAAGTAGTACTTTGTATTAATTTTAAACGACTCGAAATGCTGATTCATAAAAAGCTACAGATTTAATTATTCGTTACATTTTAATTCGAATTATTCAGCTTATAAAATTAATTAGGTTACAATTAGAGGCGTAACGGATCCCTGATATAAATAAAAGAAATAAGGTAAGTTCCATAAAGCGAAAATGTTAATTGTAAATGCGGAACTGAGGTCGCAATTTGAGCTATTTAAGTAAATTTTGAGAACCACAATTGTAAAATCAACTTTCTTAATCAATTTAATGAAAATTGTATAACCTTTGACGAGTGTCAATTACCATTGCCTTTTCAGCATACCTACCTACCTAACATTAATTTACGAAGTGTAACAAAGTAATTCTATTATCAAGTTAATGTTTACCGTTCATAGAACATTGTTTATGTAAACGATGAAATTATAAGAGCTAGCTTCTTATAATTGGGAATATATAAAGTTTAAGTATTATAATCCTCTGAATGTGTGCGACGTCTTGTCTGGCAAACATGAACACGATTTCGTTGGCCTTCGAAGAGTTTCAAAGTTCACGCTTATTAAAAGACATTTGATTTTAACAATAACAAGACGCGCGTAGCGTTCATGTATTAACTTTAGGGTAGTTTTGGAGTAAATATTCATATTTTTCTGCGAAATCATTCAAGCCGTCAATCATACTACGAAGAAATACTCTGATTTTATAAATATATGAATTTCCTCGAAAATGTGCCCACAGACTTGTTGTTCTTTAGTTTGTAAAATCAATTATTTTTTCGTTGAAAACATTGAGGTTTGATTTCTAACCCTGATTAGTTCTGTGTACATAGGTCACAATAATTACGATTCGTGTAGGCTGCTTTTAGTTTACTTATATATCTAGACATCTATCAACTTGTTTTTTGTATGCATTTGTTTCTTAATAAAACAAGATGTTATTTGGTGTTAGACTACGAGAACTACTTTCAAAAATAACTTCATATAACGTTATCTCTTCAATCAGTCCTCAAATTCACTTTATGCTATCTGTCCCGTATATACATAGTTAGTAGAAGTATCGTTCGGTTTTAATTAAGCTGTGTAGAAAGTAGAGATTTGTCCGTACTCAGCAGACAGATCCCACAGTCTCTAATTTCCAGTTCGGATTTCCTACAACATAGAAGAGTACTAGCGCTATATACCCAGGTATATCTCATACAATTCACTCGTAGCTCTATCTTCAAAGTTTAATCAGAATTAACCCACGGCTTACAATATACTTAACTTCACCTTATAATTACTTTTACGCGTGAAAGTATTAAGAATTTATGAAATTTCTGCACTTTGTGGCGCGAAACAAATTTTGCGTCAGAATTCGAGACCATATTACAGCCATTACGTACAGCCATTTTACATTACATATACATCCTTGTACTTGTTGTTAAATTTGTGAACAAAAATATTTACGAAATAAATTTTATTGTATTATGGCACGGATACTCCTACCGTTAAAGGATTAGAAATTAATTTAAATTCTGCAAACCCCACGGACGCAGGTAACTGAATATTTTACGTGTAAGTGATATGCTTCTAAATTTACCTACCTATACATCTATATGATATGTTTACAATCAGAACCAAACATAATAATTTATAATTGAAGAACATTTTATTTATAAAAACTGATTGATAAAAAATCAGGAATAAATTTTTTAAGTCGAATCATCACTTCAGGTACTAGCAACAATCTCAAAAAAACTGCATATATCAAGAACATAAGACAGTAAAAGTTAATTTAAGTACCTAAATAAAAAAAATATATTGGACAATCCTGTGAATAGTGTGCAGTTTCCATTGCGAATTTACACCCGATACAACAGATGAATTATTAATAAGTTTTTAAATAAATCACCGGGTCAGAAACGAATTAGTGTAAATCAAATTTGAAATATGTGATTTATTCTTTTCTTATTACATTTGATACACGATCAGTTACAGTACATAATTATACATGATAATTATAAAACACCGCCACAGCCAAATATTTTTGGCTGTCTGACTGCTTGAGGGATGTATTTTTGACACTGAGAAATTGTATTTTTTATATCTGAACCCGACTTGAAGCGTACCGGTTATGAATATAAATTCAATTACACAGCTACCTGTTTTTGTTCCGTAGATAAAGTTTCGAACATTTTTTTCTCAGAGCACTACTGTAGCATAAATTAAAAATGTACCAAAGGCTTTAGTAATAAATAAACCTAGATGATTGCCGGAAAACTGTGGACAAAGTTTTAACGAAGTGATTTCTGCGCAAAATAAATTTTGTTGCCTTTCCAACTGGTTCTGTTATTAGGAACTGTAAAACATTATACATTTATTACTAATAATATAATATCTAGTTTTATAATGCCTTTGAAATATTTTATGTTACAGAAACATTTGAAACCAAAATTAAGGTCTCAATTCTCTTCAATTTGTAAAGCTCACATCATCAGTACCAAGGTCGGTTGCAAACAAAGGTATACCTTTTTAACTTGGCCGATTGTTTTTGAAATCAGTGTTATTTTACCTGATTGTGCTCAAAGGCAAAAAGGTAAAAATCGAGTTGATGCGATGAAATTAAATTTCCTTTGAATACGTTACAGCGGCTGTACCGGATGACAACCAACAATAAGCCAACGCGTGCCCTGATCACTGTGTAAATTCGAATTACCTTCTATTTGCCCCGATATTGGTGAGAGATATTTTAAGCGAAAATATGTAGGGTGAAAAATATTCAATCGTTTATGAATATTTACCTACCACATAATAAACGTAAATATTGACTTCGTTTGCTAATATCGTGCAAATTACATATTTAATCGATTATTATAGTCATTTTAATGAAATCTATAAAGAACAACTACGATTTGAAAAGAAAAATACGATCAAAAGGGAACTGTTGTCTTTAGGGAAAGATATGCCTTCAATATCATGGAGGGAACCACACAATGGTTGGTTGACATCGTAATGAAATGTGAAATTATCCTTTCTGGAGACCTTAACAATAATAAAACTATGGACAGGGTGAACAAAGTGCCTATAGGTTTCTAAAATCTGTTTTGTGAAACTTTAATTATCTTCAATATTTTTTTTTACGTTTTGTAATGCATAAGATGATAGGTAAATCCTTTTTGCTTTAGACCTGAAGTCGTTTTCTGCATTTAAGCCTTTTGAACTAGAATGCGCTTCATCGCATAATATGCTATCTGCGAGCACAATATTGTAGATTTATTCATGAACTCTAATGAGTCACCTCTTCGCATTGTCGTTCTTTACCCGTTGTTCAGCTCTAAACATAGAGTTTTCATTTCTGGAAAAATCTGTGTCTTTTCGAATACGTT